GCTCAAGGGATCGCTTCATACTTCCTTTCAGCATCAGAAAGGTAGAATTCTTTTAAAGTGTAGATTGATTATTTTTTTTTTGTGCTACAGTATTTCCTACATTGCTAGAAAAGGATTCCTGTAATGCAAAACTGAATGCAGCTCTTCACTATGATTTGAGGAGACTTTGATCAATCGGCATACTTGCATGTAAAAGAAATTAGGATAAGGAAGGGGAAGAGGCAGATTTTGAAGACATGAGAAGTTACTGGAAGTTAATGCAATAAACTTTAAAGACCAGGAGCGAAGGGGGTAGTTTGCCTCTGCTCAATCCCGTCCTTGTTCCCTTAGATATTCAACAGTGTTTGGACAGAACTGTTTCCGTCCTTTTCAGTTTGCTCATTCCAGTTTTTCTTAGGCTGTGCATATTTTTCCCTTCAGAACTTAGGATTTTATAACTAGTATACACCTACCCCTGTTGAAATGAATTGTTTCTTACACCAGTAAATTCCTTAAGCATTGCCTAATGGCTTCAGAGGAAGAAAGCCCTCCTGAAGAGGTGCCATTTTCTCATGGTATCCAGTTGGACCCATTTAACTGTATCTACTTGCCAGGCTTTATTACTGCTTAATAAAGTACGTGTGTGATTACCTGAAACTCACTGCACACTCCATAGATTGCTTAAAGTCATTTGCTTTGGCACTGGCTCAGAAAATCTAGTTGCTTGTTGAACAGCACGTTCCTGTTCCTTGTCAGCAAGAGATACCTGGACACAAGCATTAAAAATAGTTCAGCCTTGAAAGATTTAGGCAGGATCACTGTTAACCCCATTTATTTTGGTATTGATGGGTGTACTACCAATCTTCTGACCTCCAGATGACGCAAAAAGCACTGCTTGTCAACATATGGAGTCCTAAACTTAAAAAACATGATGAGAAGTGTGATAGAAGTCATTTGCTCAAGGCATTGTGTTGCCTAATCGTCTACACTGGATTTTGTGGGCCAGAAATATGACCTATATAACTCTTCCTCTTTCTTTGGAAAACCCTAAAGAAAGGCAATCATTTTCCTCTGGCTCTTCGATGATTCATGTGCTTTGTCTGTGAACGCTACTGATTTGAGGCGCGGGATTACTGTGATAGAGCCTTGTCAAGCCTATAACGTGTTGTTTTGTGCTTCACTTAGTCATGTTATAACTTATGCCTAGATGGAAGATAGGTAGTAAAAGTATAACAGATAAGATTACAAGCAATTTGAGCAGCTTTTATAACATTTTGCTTACAGATTAGTTTTCAGAATATATTGCTTGCCTGATTTGTTGAAATATTAACTACTGCTGTATAGGTTTTGTCATTGTTGCAATGTGGCCAAAGGTTAAACATATGCAATTAGGTTGAAGAACTAGTGTAATCTGTCCCCTCCTCCCCTATACACTTTGCAAGATCAGGAATATTTCTGTATCTAAACTTCTCATCATACCTAACCTGTGTACACTGCCCAACATGAATCCCTTCCCATAGCTGAAATTCTTCATTCTACTTCCTTATTCTTTGCTAGTCGTGAAAATGCCTTTTAAAACTTTATGGGAAGTATAGTGTGAGTGCGTGGCAGAGGCAGGGACATGGTCTCAGTTCCTGAGAGAAATGCTGTCTCATGTGCAAATTCACATTTTTCAGTTATTTTGTGCAGCTGCTACATGGCTGGATGGTCAGAAAGGTACAGATCAAAGGGAAGCTGTCTTTCTGAAACTTTTTGCCACCATGCCTCTCGACATCTGTTTGAGGAAGGGATGCCAGCTCTCTTAGCACCCAGTCTGCTTGAATGACAGCTAATACGTAAGCCTAATTCATCACTTCTTTAAAAAATATAATCATAAAGCTGGCGTGTTTCTTAAGTGGACTCCTCATGCCATGAAGCCTTTGAACCACATGAGTAAAGGGAATGTGTTGAAAATTACAATGGATATTCAATATTACAATTTAAAAAAATTATTGTCAATTAAGGTTTGGGTTTACTAGCCAAAAAACATGAAAAAAAACCCAACCAAACTTGTGCTAGATGCAGGCATGGGAGCATGCCTTCTTTGGTATATTAATCCAACTCTCTTTAGATGCCATTTACTTTGGAGCTCTTTGCTGCGTCAAAGCTTCTGGAATATTTACTTCCAGCAGGTAAATGAATTTGTCTCCCTTTTTGATAAGGAAGAATGCTGCTATTCAAACTTGCCAAATTCAAAATGAACTTGGAAAAAGCAGCAGCAGAATCTGGATTGGTCTAAAATGAGTACGAACACAACCTAGCAGGATTTACGAAAGAACTGGAAGACCTTTCTGAAAGGCCCTTGTTATTCCGTGGCTCTTGTATCAGATATGCACTTGGAGTCAGATGAAAGTGCTGCAGGAAGACTAGCGTTATGCTTACCGCAAAATTGGCATAATGGAACAGTAATTCTCTGTTCCTTTAGATAAAACCTGTCCTTTGTGCCTCTTGCTTATTGCACTTGAATACTGTAACTGCTTTTTCTGGCGTGTTTAAAATAGACTGTACTTCTTATCTGTGTCAATTACAGCTTCAAAGTCTACCTCCATCTCTCATCCATTATTCCTGTCTCTTAAATTATCTGATCGCTCCCCATCATCTTCCACTTCAAGAATAACGTTTTCAGTCATCCCGTAAGGCTCAAACAGGCTAAACCTCTGATACCCTCTTTTGACCTGCCTCCTTATCCCTTCCACTGACTAATGCTCCCAGCCTGGTGTCATCCTGCTTGCGTATGCAGGATCATAAAACATCATAAAACATTCTGCTATGATGAACTGCCTTCCTCTCTGTGCCTCATTCTGCTACCCTGTAACTGCCTATTAAGTGAGGTGTTTAGGGAAATTGAGTTAAATCCTTTATAGGCAGTGACAGGAGGGGATATTAAGTGTTAGAAAATGCTGGAGACTTTAAAGCCATCTTGTACAGGAGTGTTATCCATGACCCTTAGTCGGTAATACAACACATGTTTTGAATGATTTCTGAATAGTAAGAACTCATATGTAAACTTCTGAATTCTACTGAATGCAATTTTGCCCGAGTCTGCCAGCAATTAAACATTTTATGACTAGTCTGTAATTGAAATAATCGTTCCTACTCTGGAACCTGTATTTTGTAGGTTTTACTCACCCAGAACTTGTGTTATGAAAAGCGGATGTGTGGTTTTTTTAATGCGCACAGTACCTAACTTCATATTTATAATAAACTGGTAGCCCTTTACGGGTTGAGTTGACACCTCAGACAGGAAAGCAAAGTAAGAGAATCACATCCCTTCCCCTCCTGATGCGAGTTCAACTACTGGAAGGAGGCAAATGAACTCTCCCACATGCAGGGGGAGCTCACCAAATCCAAACCCTGACCGGTGGAAAGAAAAACCTTTATAAAAACAAGATGCTTATCAAGAACTTGAATAAGTACCTGTCTGTGCCATAATTGAGTAACCCTAGGCAGTGCATCTCAACTCCTCCTGTTAATTCTTGAGTGGGTGGAGAAATCCTTTCTTGAGTCCTTTTTGTTCTGAACGATTTAATGCTTATAGATTAAAGCTTGGAACTTAAAACTCTGCTTACAGAACTTGTGTTCAGTACGTTAACTTCTCTCATGCGATTTAAAGGTTTGACTAGCTCAAAAGCAAATTATAGCATTAAGTTGTTATTGAGGTGATCAAATCTGAGAACTCCAGTAAGCTTGGGGAGCCTGGGAAGAAAAGAAGCCCAGACCAAAAAAAAAAAAAAGGTTTTGAATGGAAGAAACAAAATACGTGCAATGAATGCCCTGGAGGTACAGCTCGAAGGATGGTGTTGGCAGGAGGGAGTGCTCAAGGTGATGTTCCTGTGCTGCACTCTTAGTAGAACAGTGTGTCAGGACACCCTGAAACGGAGTTGCTGTTGTGATGTGCTTTAAACCACACACGTCAGCTTTTAGCTTAAGGCTCATTTTTAGGTTCACCGCTTAATGATCTATGCTCTAGCCCACAAAGAGTTTTTGTTGCCACAACTGAAGGGGCAGTGAACTGCGGCGTGGGGACTCCTTAGGCTGGTTTTGCTGCCAAAGCCCCGCCGAGGGTTTTTGTCCTGGGGTATGGGTTCAGTCACACTGTGTGCATAGATGTGAATATGCATCCTTCTAGTACAAACATTATAATTATAATCTGACTTTTTATAAAATGTGTTTTTTTGTCCTAAGTGCTTAAACACATTGACATGGTACAGTGTGTATGTCTGCTTAGACTTTGTGGCACAAAGGACAAGGAAATACAGGAGAAGCTTATCTTACCTGGTTGGAATATATTTTAATAATTTTAATATCTGATGGAAGATACTGTACTGTTCTACTTTTATGGACAGCTTCATAGGATGTGGGAGTAAGATGCTCTGGTCTTGTGTGCAGAAAGTGAAGATGGATGCATATGCTGTATATATCTTCATTAGAAGTTTAAATATTTAAATATCAGTCCCCAAAGTTATATTCCTAATGGCTTACTCTTGCACATGCTTGCTTGAGGAGTATCTTTGCTCTAAGATGGTGTGATAGTTACTGCAAAGTAACTGGCAACTTCCAAAAGTCTAAACAGAGATGTCTGTGGCCACTGAGTAAATGGTAATCGATGAATCATCTTCCTGGCATAGTACTGGAATATCCTACGCTGTTTCTGAAATGGAACCTGCATTAACTTTCCCAGAATTTGTTAGTCTTGTGCTCAGTGTTCTGAGGATCTCAAATACACTGATACATTCTTTGTCTTCATGTAGGACCATAAGCTGGAAGAACTTAAGAGTACAGTTAAGCATAATTTAAATATGAGGAGTAACTGCATTTCAATGGAAAGTCCAGGGGTAGGAGGGAATGTGGAATAAAAGACCCTACACTAGGCAAGGACAATGGAAAGCATTAAGCAGGAAATAGGGTATATAGTTAAGGGGGGGGCCACAATATCCTGAAAAACGCTATTGAAATTTTTAAATGCTTGCTTTTTGTTGCAGATTAATCAGCCACTCGATGGGGATTAACAGTGGAGCACCTCTTTGTGTCGCCTTTCCACCTCTCTGTAGCAAGAATAACAACTTCAGCACTTCTTCAATAATAATTATGAAACTGGTATTAACTGAATGGCAATTATGGATTTTTAACTCTAACTCACAGTAAACCAGCAAGCCATATGTTGAAATTCCTACCAAATAGCTTTTCATTCTTAATGTCTCCTATCTATACAAGAAGTTGCGAGATACCTGTTTGTACAAGAGGAATATAAGCATTACTTGCCTGAGGAACAGAAGCTGAAAGAGAAGACACGTTAACCTGTTTGTGGAGTTATGGTAGTATTATTTATATAGATATAACAAATATATATATTTTTTATGGTAATGAAAATGGCTCCCCAGAATGCTGACTCGGAATCTATGCAAGTTCAAGATCTACCTGTGGCACAGCTTCAGAAACCAGAAAACAAGGAGAATGAAAGCAGGGAGGAGACCATTAGTGAAGGATCCATAGACCGGATACCAGTACGCCTGTGGGTGATGCATGGTGCAGTAATGTTTGGCAGGGAATTTTGTTATGCCATGGAAACAGCTTTGGTAACACCCGTATTATTACAAATTGGTAAGTAATTCTCATTTCTATTATCAAAACTTTCTATATTTTTCTGCATTGATTGAAGTCAGAAGATGATGGAAAAGGGGTCTAAAAACTAAACATACACAAGGTAAAAAAGATTTTGTTTTAGTTATGGGCTGTGCCACAGATTGAATTGTGTGACCATGTTTAAGTGGGAAGGATTTCTATATGCATTCATCTTCTGTCTAATGTTGCTTCCCTCTGTAAAAATTTTAACCTGATTTAAGTCTAAAATCCTTTACTAAAAGGTAAGTGTCCTAGAAACTAGAAACAACATTAGAATGTAAAGGATTGCAGTGAAGATTTCTTTCGTTTAGGGAGAAATATTTCAGGATGCAGTACTTAAGAATAAACAGTTCGATAAATTGGCTTTTCCAACTACTAGTGAAATATTGCATTTATTTCAAACCACTGGTGAGGCTTGGTTTATGTGATTCATCTGTCTAGTTTATAACACATGAGTATGTGCACGATGCCAATAGCTTTAGATAATAATGGGGGGGGGGGGGAGGGGGGGAATGGGCTTTAGAGTAGGAGTAGGCAGTGTTAAATTTCGTGGCAAGTACTGCAGGTAGGTTTCCAATAAACTGCTTACAGTACTAACAGTGTCTGGTGTTACCTTCATCAAATCCAGAAAATCATGTTCTCTATCAGATACCAGAAAATATTACATGAAACTGAATGGAAGTACCAGACTGAGCATGCTTCCATGAATGAATAAATCAACAATGTGTGTGCACTGTATAAATGTATATAAAATATGTGCATATTATACATTTTATAGAATCTATGATTCTATATTATACATTTGCTAATGTTTGCTTTGGCTTATACATGCAGTTGTACCTCACAGCATGCTCAGCTGTGGCCAAGCAGAAGCACTTGACCAGCTCTCTAAAATAATGTTAATTGAATATTACTTACAACATTGTTTAAAGATTTCCAGGTTAACATCTCAAATGAAACATCTGTATTTTTCTATTTGATATGACAAAAGGGCATAAGAGATTGAACCTGTGAGCATACAATGTACAAATTCTTTTGTGGAGTCTTCCTGCAGGTAGAAATGTGTTTTCCTATGAAATTTGTTTTGAATCAACAGAGGGGTCAATAATCAGTGCACTTAGTGTCATAAGAGATGCTGATGAGTTGTGCCTCCAAGTTTTCCTGAAAATTTTCATTTTCTGAGCTCATCAAATGTCCTTTTTGGATCTATGGGTGGCATAGTTAAAACAGATTATAAGTGTTCCCCAAACAGGAGCTTTCTGATCAACCTGACTTGCTGAATAAAACACATGCAACTTCATCTAGGAATGTTTATAATGCCCATAATGTGTTTTGAGGTTTTGTCTTTTGGGTAAGCTGAGATTTAGAGACTTAGCGTTGGTTCAATTACTGTCTACCGTCAATGCAAAAACTTGCATCCTGCTTTACGTGGAGAAGACCCCCAGTTTTGTAAGTGATCTGTACTTTTTTGTTTGCTTTCTTGTTTGTGCTGGCACTTGCGTGTTTATAATGTATAGCTGGCTAAGCTGACTTTTACCTTACTATAGAGTAAGGTCAGACAGTATAAATAAACTATCCTCTTAATTACTGGCCAGTCTACTAGGTTACATTTCTTTTGTGAGCTCTTCTAGCAGATCTGTTTCCTCCAGATAATTGAGAAATATCTCTTCCCTTCCTTCCCTAACCCCTGTGATCCAATAACATTGGGATTTGGGGGAAGGGAAGAAAAGAGCGCTCTCTGCTAGAAAAGCTAGCAAATCAACAGAGCAATGCAAAAGGCTGTGGGGATGCAGTGATGATGCTCCACGCTGCATAGATAAGTAATGGGGGTAGCTGGTGACAAATGTCAGCGCTTTGGGAACTAATTGAAATCTTTCATGCTCTGGCTTCATGTTCCCTCAGCAGGGGACTAAACAATGTCGGATTCACTGAAGGGTTAAGTTATTCACGGGTGACTTATCTAGCCTGTTTGGTAATTACTTCTTACATGGTTCTGTTTACCTTTATCAACCTCAACATCTGTCTGCCTCAACATGAGCTATATTTATTCTTCACTGGAGGGGGTTGCATATAGCTGTCAAACTGCTGTAATATTCCCTTTGCTTCTTGTTTTGGTAAAAGCAACATTCAGTTGTCTTCTGTGAGATTAAATTGGCTTGAGAAACTATTTTTGAGAAGTGGCACCTGGGGAAGTGTGGTGACTCAACCAGCTAAAACTTTGCTTATAATAAATTGAAGAACCAGAAGCCTTTTGGGTATGCAAAAAAGACTCTTCCTTACGGATGTGTGTTGAATATTAACAATTAAACTTGACGGTGTGTGCTTGTGTTCTCTATCTCAGAGAAAACATTGGTCACTGAAATAATCTAAGATTCTTATCTGATACCACCATTAAGACCTTAGGCACGTTAGTATGGTGTTACATACTTTCTGCTTGCAGGTATTTGACTTTCCTAGATCTTTGTGTACCCTGGATCAGAGGTGTAGTTATGATTTGGCAGATCAACAGCCTGTCTTGTTCTGTAAGCCACGAGATTTCAGCAACTGGAGGAGATAGTCCTTTGGATGGTCTCTTTCCAATTCAACAGTGGTTGAATTCTTCATGTGTTTAAACTTCCTGAAGTTTTGAATACTTAACAAAAGAACTAAAGGCAGCAGTGAGAGCTGCTTGGATGGATGGATGAATTGGAAAGGTCTGGAAGTGCCCGAGTTGCTGTACCCCTACCAAAATAAGTTCTGATTTGTGACTTTAATCTTTATTGCTCTGCTTAGATTGATGTTACATTGCCTTGTCAGAAATGCAGCTACAAATCTGTAACAGCCTTGTAGTCATAACTGGGCTTTAGTAGCTTAGCAACAAGAACAAGCCAAATATGTATTACATGGGGGGGCTAATTTTTTTATTCTAACTTGCTCTTTGATTTCTTGCTATCTGCAACTTAAGAATTCAAAATGAAGCAGCTAACTTATTTAGAAGAATCCAGAGGATATAAAAATACGCCACATATGAGAAGTGCCAGACTGGCTCCAGATGAAATTATATTAGTTGGCACTTTTGCAAGTTTTGATCTCTAGAAATCTTTGACCTTTTTTTTAGAGACCTGTTCAGTCAGCAGTTCCTCCCAGCCAGTGTTAAAACTTTACTAGAAAATAAACTGTCAGCGCTTTCAGCTCTCTAGGTTTACTTGTTCCTCAGTCGGAGATTTTTTTGAGAAACAGTGATTTCTTGTTGCTGTTGAGTATGTTCTGTACATGAACACCACAGTTTGCTTCCCCGGTCACATTTCAGCCACATGTATAAACTCTGTAGGAGCAGGATGGGGCCTTTGTCTTCTGAAACATCTGGTACTTAATGCTGCTTATCTGTGAGAGGGAATTAAAATCCCTGCTATTGTTTATAAATGACGGTGTATTTTCTTCCATCATTAAACTTGGCTTCTAAGGATTTAAATCTCTAAATCTACTTCCAATTCATAACAGTTCCTGGAAAATTTGGATACATTTTAGAAATTATTTCGCAAGGCATTTTGAGTGAATGAAAGTGAGGAGAAACTAATGACTGGTATGGTGTAAACTTAGAGAAACTGTTAGCTTTTTGAAGAAACTTGTTCAGTGAAATCACAATACATGGCTTCTGTTAACAGCACTTTAAACCATTAATAAAGAACATAATTTGCTAACTGCAGATTATTTCAGTTGTAATTCAAGCACGATTTGGGTGCTAATACAACCAGTAAATCCATTTCAGTTCTCAAAAGTGCCTGTTTCATTAGGACTATGGAAGAAAAAAAAAAATCTGTATTCTGTGACTTGGGGTGGCTGCTGCTTTCAGCATCAAAAACTTGCTGTCTGACTAATGAGTAGTGGTAGCTGTAAACATGAAGTTTCACGTTTTATATTTAATATGATAAAAGCTTTGCCAAGCCTTTACTGTTGCTTCAAAGGCTCTTTCCAATGCTATTGAGTGTTTTATGAATAGTTAATAGGCACAGAAGTGACTGTCAGCACCAGAACTGTTCCTCATTCCCCTGCATAAATTAAATATATTACACTAGTGCTTTTAAAAAGAAACTATGTACATTTACATAAGGAAAAACATGAACAGTTTACATGTGCTGCTTACCTTTACAATGTCACTTAAAATTTAGGGATGTTTCTCTGATACGGTATAGCAATAGCCTTGATTTTTATGCATTTCATATCTGAGTGCCTATCTGTGACAGCATTACTTTGTTTTGCTGTGAGAGTTAATGGGCTCTTGTAGTAAACATTAGCTAGTCTAGTATTAAATATTGAAGTCGGTCATTTTAAGCTCAGCCCTGAGCATGGTGTTCTTGTTAGTAATGCTATGGAATAGCATTTCTGGAAACCGCGTGCTTCAGCGCTAATTAATAGATTTTAATAAAGAGAAAGGCTGAGCTAAGCAGTCCGGAATACCATAGGTTGTTTTCATTTGGAAGAGAAATTATTTCTCTCATTATATGCTTTCAAATCAGTGAAATACTGTAGTCACTCATGTCTCATACGAGACACGTTTCTTATGTCTCATCCATGTCAAAAAGCTGTTTGGGGCTTTTAGCTGTCGTTTCTCAGTTAAAGCATTTAGATACAGTATCTCAGAAAAAAAATAACATTCAAAATTCTTCCAGCCTAAAGCTTAGCAGACCATGCTTTTAAAGGGTCTTGAAATCTAGTTCATGTGAAACTGCCAGTATGGAAAAAGTGTGTTAAGCAATAATTCAAACTGCTGATGCTGAGAAATCTCAAAAGTGGTAGCTGAGGAGTCATTATGCTGAAGAGATTTAATGGTACGCAGTCAACTGCTAGTATGAAGTGGTGAATTCTCCCCATTGAAATTTAGTGTTGATACCTGTCTGAGAAGAATGCATGTAGGTAAAGAGGAGATTATAGAGATGTATTTAGAAACCAACCATGAAATGTTACAGGTAAATTAGCTTTTTAGGTATGTTTCTTCCAAG